TGGAAAACTCACATGTTTCTGTCAAGCTAAATAAAGTAGTGCAGGCCTCTTTCTCAACATTGCTTCTCAGCCTTGCCAGCTCCGGAGTTCCCCTGACTCCCTACCCTGCATTGGGCAGTCTGTGGTCTGTGGTTTTGACGGTCTGACAACCTGCAGAGAAGAGGTTATCACCAGAACCTGATACAGTGTGAAGTAGTGATGGTGGTGGTAGTGGTGGTGGGGGCAGGGATAATGTCAGTGATTGACCCTCCAAAACTGGTGAGAGCTTGGAGGCTCTCCTTTTTTGTTGTTAAGGGGGACAAATAGACCCTTGCTACAGTCTTGAGAAGGTAAGTGGAGGAAGAAGATGCTATCTTCGTGAACGTAGTCCTTCCATATGCCCCTTCTTTATTTCGCTTTGCTCTTGACTTCTTCCCCTTTCTCCACACTTCTCAGCACTAATCTCTAAATATTTAGTGGATGGTCACCTTCAGGAGAGATGAAGATCAACCCCAAACTCACTGGAGGTGTGGGGTGGTGGTGGGGGGAGTTGGATCCTACCTCCAAGCTTATTGAGTATTTTTTGGCTTTTGGATGGGTGAGGGAATAGTCTCTCCCATTAACACAACTCCTGTACAAAGCCCCCTCTCTCCCTCCCTAGCCTCCTCTTACCTTGGTTAGAGTCTTAGAAATAGGGTTGTGCTGTTGGTGGAGCTGGGCCTCTGGATTGACTCCTCACTGTTAGCACTGAAGAGAGGAGCTTCCTCCACTTGTAGAGACCTCTGTAAACTCAGGTTGTGCGTGTTCAAACACGTTATTAAGAGAATTAGTGAGTGAGGTGCAACCATGACCTAGATCCAGGCTCCTCCATCCTGTCTAGGCCAGAGCTGGGGAAATGGGAGATGATTTTGAGTTTCTTTGCAGGAACCACAGATGGGAAGTTTCAGGTGCAACAAGCTGAGATGTCGGAGACTGTATTAACTGGGGACACACTCACCTTGAGTTGTACTGTACCAGATTCACTCCCAAATGGACCCGTCTTGTGGTTCAAGGGAACTGGAGCAAACCGGAAATTAATCTACGACTTCCATAAAGGTCTCTTTCCCAGGGTAAAACCAATTGGAGACACCACCAAAGCTGGCAACATAGATTTTTCCATTCGCATCAGTGGTATCACTCTTGCAGATGCTGGCACCTACTACTGCGTGAAGTTCCTGAAAGGGAAACCTGACAAGGAGTATGAGTCAGGTCAGGGCACTGAGGTGTTTGTGCATGGTGAGTATGATTCCTCCATCTCTTGGTGTGGGGTATTTCCTCCATAATGATGTTCTCCATTCATTGAACAACCGCTAGATGTCATGTATTATCGAAGATAGAATATAAATTTGATCTTGTTTCATTTTCTAAACAACCTGGGAATAGGTATTTTACATAAGGGAAAATTGAGACTCAGAAAGGTTAATAGAGTGATGAGGCACATTTTGGTTGACTTCCCAGTGTTTAACGCATCCCAGGTGACTAGACTAAACCAATTAAGACAACTACATCTCACTTGCCGGTGACTAACTGAAGTATGGGCCTTGCTTAAATTGTATACATAAGACTAAAGAACAGGCTTGCAGAGCAATCTAGGAAACTGAAGCCTTTCTCTCTCCTGATGGGTGAGAATAAGGAATCATGTTGATCCAGGTGCCCCAAGAGTGGAACGAAGTTGAGGAAACACCTCTGCTCTAATTGAGTGCCCATCCCCACTGCTGTCGACTCGATTCTAACTCATAGCAACCTCATAGGGTTTCCAAGGCTGCAAATCTCTATGGAAGCAGACTGCCACATCTTTCTCCCGTGGAGCCACTGGTGGTTTCGAACCACCAACCTTTCAGTTAGCAGTTGATTGCTTTAACCACTGTGTCACCAGGGCTCCATTTGAGTGCAGAGACGGAGAAATGTGGGTCTGTGACAACATTGCTAGGCCTTACTGTTCCTGGATCCCACCTATCTCTGGACTCCCACTCATTAGAGAGAAAACATTTCCTTGTTATTTAAGCCAGTTTGCTTATAAGTCAACAGTGTCCTAAGGGATGCTTGATGATGAAGGTCTACAACCACAGAACAATGAGATACAAGGATAAATCAATTGTTTTTCTGCTCCCAACGCCTCACTTTTTCTTACTGTTTTGCTACTTGTTCAACCTCTGAACTCTGAACAATGACAAGCAAGATAAACGATTAAACAGGCAATACTACAACACTGTATCATTTATTGGAATCCCTGGGTGGTGCAAAAGGTTAAGATGTTGTCTGCTAGCTGAAAGGTTGGCAGTTCGAACCTACCTAAAGGTGCCTCAAAAGATAGTCCTGGCAATCTCCTTCCAAAAGGTCACAGCGTTCAAAACCCTATTGAGCATTTCTACTCTGCACACATGGGTCACCGTGAGTCAGAATCGACTCCAGGGTGACTCACAACTACTGTATGGA